ATTTGGGGCAGATTGCCAGGTTACCACCTAAAATTGGTCTGGTGGTAGGTTTAATGAAATTCATTGATTTAACCATGCAATAGCCTCTGAAAGGCTAAATAACAACAACACAAGACTACTGTTTCAAAATTAAATAGTACATTTATTTCACAGCAGTGGTGAAGCCAGTATTAAACCTGAGTGTCCTTGCATAATTTAGGGAATCGGAGCACTCGGAACGTAGGTCTACAAGACACAAAATATTAAGAATTTATGAACAATATAACCACTGAGAGATGACTGCTAAAATCAACAAAATAATAGCGAACAGTTTCGGGGTCATTAAGTAAAAAAAAAAAAAAGAGATGATCAGATCATTTTGTCTGTCTTTCTGCTCATGCCATGCAGCTCTCTCGCTCTTTCTCTCTATCTCTCTCTCATTGACCGAAACCTCACTTCCCTGTGTCATTTCAAAACGAGTATTCCGACGTTTCCAGTATTTTTGTTGTTTTTGCTATTTTTCTACAGGGTACATAAAACTTAAACTGGGGGAGGGCAGAAAATACAACTGAGGAGGCAAGGCCCCCTCTTGCCCCCTTGTGGCGCTGGGTGTGGACACACTGGTCCTGTGTGCGCTTATTCGTTTTTTGGCCTAAAATCCGACCACTTCTTCTTCACCTCCTCCACCGTACGCACCTCTGGTGAAACTGCATTCATAGCAGTCACCACTTTGAGCCACTCCGCATTTTTCCGTTGATTTGAAATGCCACTAGTCCGGCCTCCAAAAAGGACATTTTTTCTCCTCTCCACCTCATCAACCATCACCTCTATCTCCGTGTCCGAATAATTTCTTTTCTTATGTCCTGCCATTGATCCTCAACATCAATCTCTGCATTTCACTCAGATTTACCTGGGATCTTTAATATGCTAATTCGACTGATTAAAGGCATGCCTCGGTCCATATGAGAACAATTGTGGGAGTGGACATTAAGCGCATTCATGTGCACATAATTTCATGCTAATCTGATTTACGCTCAGATTTATGAAGATAATTAGGAGTATGTGGTGTTTGATAACTCTGACGAAAAACCTCCGTACACAAATCGTGGGATTGTGTGTACACATGGTCCTACGGCAAGTTGTACACAAAGATACATATACATATATATATATATATATATATATATATATATATATATATATATATATCGCCCCTGGTCTTTGTGTGAATAACCATAAAAATAATACTACATAAAAAAGCATTATTACTTTCATCAAGTTCAAATGCAGCTTTTGCATTCTTGCATGTGATTTTAACAAACAGGTAAAACTCTGCTGGCCCAACAGCTGATTGCACAGAAAGCCTCTCTCATGTATCATTATGTCTTCTGTCCTGCAATGAATCGCAGGTCACTGTATTTTTTTTTGGCTAGAGGGATTTAGTACTACGGGATCATGTCACAACATATACAACTTGATGTCGTTGCATGCATGTCATGCTGTTAAACCTTCATGCCATTATTTGTCTATGCACCTGTCAGTCTTCTGTCTCATGCAGCTGATCTTCATACAGTGTCATGTGACAACTGATTTTTTGACCGACAGACTAACTGCTATTAGTGGCACAGTTGCTGCACGAGAGAAATATCCAAGAAGTTCTAAGTAATTCAGTTTGTGAAGTTTTCAAAGTGATCTTGAGAAATGCTAGATTTGTGGACGGGCTTTTTAAATAAAGGTGCTGACATGGTCCAAGGATGATGAATTTAACAGCAGAAGTGCTATGTTGAAAATACTGTATAAGGGTTAGCAGCTATCCACTATTGTTTGGCTCCTGTTCATAGCTGTTTGAAGTTACAGTATGTTTAACTGTGAAACTGGATGTCTGTGTGTGTGTGTGTGTGTGTGTGTGTGTGTGTGTGTGTGTGTGTGTGTGTGTGTGTGTGTGTGTGTGCATGTGTTTGTCTGTGTGTAAGTGTGTGTGCGCACCTATGCACACGTGTGTGTGTGTATTTTTTAATATAATGCACTTATAATTTTTACATTTTTTATGACTGCAAAACTGTTTTGTAAAAACATATCAAAGCATTTGAATGTTTAATTGAAAGATGAAATGACTGAGTTACAAACAAGTTAGTTAAGACACATTGTCTTTCATGTGATGTAATGTGAGTCCTAATGACAGCATTGCAAACTGTACTGCACTACTATAGCACCAACATATTGAGCTTAACACAGAAATTCAGTCAATATGGACAGTCCACAGCGAGTGCAACAGACCTGCCAAAACTCAGTCATGATTCTCATTCCAGCCAATCAATCACACTTAAAATGAGAATCCATACATGAATTTGTTTTCTTTTTATTTTCTCAACTGAGATTCACATCCAGAAATCACTAAGGACGTGAAGCAAACTGAATTGGACAAGGGGCGCCATGCTTTTGCCAAGTTATCAGAGCAATTTGGGATCAGAGTCTATCCACTGAATGAATTCTGAAAATGGGAAAATAATTTTATTCAGATGAGGCTCCAATGCTGTGAGAATTCTTTTTGGGAAAGCGGCCAAAAGTAAGAACAATTTCGAGTAGAATTGAAAAAAAATTACATATTCCAAAAATAATATGATTACAGATGTCTTCAACAGAGAGTGCAACAGGCTTTATTTGTGTCATTTCATCTGTGCTGGTTTTCTCTAGGTAATGATGTATTCCAGACAAAGCATTCATTTATACAGGAAAATGAATAATTCAAACTAAAAAAAACTGGGGCCTTCTTTCCCTCAGACTGAGAGGATACTGTACACATAACGAGCTAATTGCTGTTGAAAACCTCAACATATAATTAATCCATTTTTAATCTGTCTGTAATCATGTGGTTCTGCTTGAAAGATGAACAAATTTTCTTTGGCGTAGGAGATACAGACTCCTGCAGCAAGTAGACTGGGCTTTTACATACTTAAATGTTCAGGTTAATGTCATGCTCTGTTGATTTGTGCTGTGTTAAAATCTACAGTCTACAGTACTTAAAGCATGTATGAAATCATGTACTATCTCTATATTCTCTATAGTAAAAACAGTGCTCATATTTCCTTGCAGATGTAAAAAATTGTTTTTACTATTATTCTTACCACAGTTTTTTATGTCATGGACTGATACAGCATTATCTTGCTTTCAATGGCCCATAAAGACCAATTTGCTTCCCATTGTTTGCAGGGGAAGGTCTTCATTTTGTTGGCAGGCATCAAATTAGCCTTGCAAATACCGCTTTCTCCAAAATAATAAGTTGGGGATATATTTGCATGTGTTTACTGTGGAATAATGAAGCATTTACAAGTACTGTTGTCTTCAACTATGCTTCTACACCTTGTAGAAATATCCAAAGACTACAAATACTACAATACTATGCATTAGCCACTATTATGTTTTCAAAATAAAACCCTGTCAGGTAATATATGGGGGAAGACTATTCAATTAACCTACTTGGTCCACACTGCAACCATTGCAGGTGTGTGGAGACTGTGCACATTTAGGAATTGTGGAAACGAAATACATAGCTGAAAAATCAATCACATACATACATAATGTGTTGTTCCAAACGCATTTTACAAGTCTACAGTCTACAAACATAATATTCATAATAATTATTATTATTATTACATGTAAAAAATGCATTATGATATAACCATTTCATGTTATATAATTATTCTACTTAGACATTCTCAGCCAGAACAGCAGCGTGTTGATTGAGAGAGGACGATTAGAGGAGTATAAGGAGCTAATGAGGATGTCTGTGAGGTCTCAGTACCCAGCACACATCACCATAGACTGAATGTGTGAAAGGGTGCTATGAGGAGATACTGGTGTGTGAACGAAGCACTGTCACTTTTTCATATGGGTAAATGTGACATGTTGGTTGGCACATTGATGGAGGCAGAACATGGGTCAATGAGGTGTGTTATTGGCTGTGGTGCATTGGTATAAACAGAATATGAGTGGATGGGGTGTGTTACAGAGTGTGTAGCGAGCTGGTGTAAGCAGAATGTGAGTGGATGAATTGCTATTTAATGTGGCATGTTCGCACAGGATCGATGAGGTGTGTTATTGGGTGTAGTGTGTTGGTGGATGCAGCCTGTGTGTTGATGGGATCCAAAGGCACCAACGCTCACAACGATCAATAGACCTGAGAGAGAAGTACAGTAATGATGTCTCTTTCTCACTCTCTCTCTCTGTATCTCTCACTCTCTCTCTCTCACACACACATACTCCTGAGGGAACACTCATAATCAGTTTCATTAGTCTGCTATGCCTTCATAAATCCCACACCAAACCGATATCAGCGGTGAGTCCACAGTGATGGACACCAGATAATGCTATTTTCACTGCGGTCCCTGCCGCAGGTCTGGCACTGGCTGGACAAATTGAACTCTTTGTTTTCTTTCTGTGCCTTTGCCAGGCAATCACAAGCCTTTTCAGGGATTTTTTCCCTCAGTGCCACCAGTATGAGACAAGGGATATTGGTTGTCTTGTTCACAGGAAAATCTGGTGCCCAGTAAACACAAGTAGCCCTGCAGCAATGCATTTTAAATGTTTTTTTTTTTTGTTTGTTTTGGTTTAGTTGTTATTTATGAAATTGCAGAATCTGAGCATTGGCTGAAACCGGAGGTTCTATCATGCCAATATCCTTATACCAGCATTCTCAATTGCAAAAGAGGTGGAATGCTTAGAGGCAGACTGAAATATTTTGTTATAATCCATGTGAGGGTTAAAGGGTGGTTTTCTCCATCCATGTAGTAAGCATAGTGTCGCCACATCATTACATCACATTATTATCATTCAGCAGACATTCTTATCCAGAGCGACTTTCGTAGGTTACAAGTTTACAAGTTACCCATTCATGATGGATATTTACCAACAAGATACCCGTTTATACTGCTGGATATTTACTGACAAGATACCCATTTATTCAGCTGGATACTTACTGAGGCAATTGTGGGTAAGTACCTTGCCCAAGGGTACAACAGCAGTGCCCGAGCAGGGAATCGAACCAGCAACCTTTGAATTAGGAGCCCTGCTCGTTACCACTATGCTACACTGGCACCCCTCATCAGATTTCCAGCTAAATAAGAGTACAGTGGCACTAGATACATCATACATCCTTTTCTGTCTGGCCTCTCTGAGCCCAAGCTAAGGGTGCCACAAAATGTGAGTTATGGAACTGTGCTTGTAACAGGCCAGCTGTGGGATATCCCTGGCTTGGATTTTGGTATTTAACCTTTAAGCAAGGGACTGAACCTACATATCTGTGTACTGTTACTGGGCAGTGTGTCAGTATGTGAAATGTAAGCTATTAAAGTGTGCATTCCAATTAAATAAAACAATTTTAAAAAACCCTGTGGCACCTAAAATGTTTTATCTTTTGTAAAAGCAAAGATAATTTGTAAACGCAGTGATGTGATGTGTACTCTCCCTCCTTTTGAAGAATTCCTTCGCAGAAAGACATTGTGTTGGCATCTGCTCATCCTGCACCCTATGGAATATTCAAGCCAGCTGACTGAAGAGACTCTCACCTCGGGCCAGTGTCTGAGCTCTGAAGGGGAAGGCAGTGGCTATCGTGAGTTCATCTGACTTTTCTTGGCGCTGTTTGTCTGCTCTGCTTGTACCGGCAGACAAGGTGACTGCAGAGATGTTCAGTGAACTCTATTCTGCCCCTGGTACTCTTCCCAATGATTTTAATGCACATTTCTGCTCACAGGACCCAGAAAGTTCAACCGCTCTGGTGTCTAGCTGCACTTTAGTGCATTAACCAATGTTTTCAGTCAAAGACACTGTCAATTACGTGCCCTGTCCTAACCAACAATAATGGCAGTGTCTTTGTGTGTGTGTGTGTGTGTGTGTGTGTGTGTGTGTGTGTCTGTGTGTGTGTGTGTGTGTGTGTGTGTGTGTGTGAGCCTATACAAATATGTGTGTTTCATGAAATCCTGCTTGTCATAGTTTTGTAATTGTTTTTGTCATTGGTGTTTTTGCTTATGGTGTTGTTTGCCTGGTTTCTGGTGTTGAACTCATTTTCCCCTAACCTTCTGTGTCATTCTTTCTGTAATGTACAGGCTGTCCCATTTAGTGTGTTAAAACTGTGAGTGACTTAAACTGTAACAACCCAGACAGTGTAATATTGAATGATAGATCCACATCAGGAGAGAGAGAGTTTAGTCACATCCTCGAGTAGAAATCTTCTCTCATCTCCTTGCAAAACCTTTTTTGTACAAAATACACTACGTGTACACTACGTGTATTTTGTTATGCAATATTGATATATCCCAGAGGAGAGATTATAAATCCTAAATACACATACACATACGCATACACATACACAAACAGTATGAGAGACTCTCCCTTGTGCTTACTGATACCGGGGGCAGGGAGACACGTGCATGAGACCTAACCCTGCGTTGTGCGATGGGGTTTCATTCCCTGGAAATGGCTACACTGAAAACATTGGGTCCAGTTTGAATGAGATTAATGACCCTGCGGATCGTTAATTCCACCCATTCCATTTGTCATCTCAAACAATCCTCATTACGCTCCCGCGGCAGCGCTGGCGGTGAAAAGGTCCACTTCTGTTATTCCCAGCCCTTTCGCCATTTTCACTTCATCAGAATGCCGGCGGGCGTGGCGCTGTTATTAAAAATGCGTTATGACTAATGTGCGGAAGTGTTTCCATGTGGGTGGCCAGAACAGAGGCACGCCCGTTCGGATGGGGCCGGATCCAAGCAACGCCTGGCGTCTCCACATTATTAATTAGAGGATCAAGGAGGTCTACCTGTAGGAAGTGAATTGGTCACTCGAGAACTGTCCGTATTGCATTTCTTTGTGTTCAGTTTTCTGCATAAGGTGTTGTTTGCAAAGTTGACCACCTGTCTATTAGTAGTAGTATTACTAGTCATAATAGTAGTGGTATTAGCACTACTAATAGTATTAGTAGTAGTAGCAATCGTAGTGATAGTAGCAGTAGCGGTAGTAGTAGTATTGTTGTCATTATTTATCAAATAGAAAGCAGAAAAACAATAAACACTCAAACTTCAAGTGTTTATGAAGAGCTGGTGTGTCCTCAATTTCCAAAATGCTTCATTTTACACAAGAAATATGAGCTTGTGCTCACAATTTGTTTTGTTTTCACTCCAAGAGATTCAGACTCAGTCATCCGACGTAAATACAGTGTAAAGACCAAGGGAAATGTTGTGATATACCATGATAGTCCAGCAATGACATATTCTAGCAGTAAGGATTTCCTCTTTAGGGACTTGTAATGCAGGCACGATGCGGCACACGAGTGTCACTCAGCAGTCTGCAAACCGCACATTGGAATGAAATTCTCCTCCTCTGGTGCCTAATAACAGCTATGTCAGGCAAAGGCTTAAAGTATAGGCTATCAGATCTACAATGCCATCATACGTTTCTCCTTCACGGTGATCTGGGAACTGTTTGAAGGTCAGAATGGATGAGGAATTGAATTATATGGTATCCATCCTATTACTGCTAGGGCGTGAATGCAAAGTGGCAGAGCCTGTCGTCTAATTCCGACGCTAACCTTGAACAGTGGCGCAGTGTTGTCGTCAAACTGGCAGCGGGCACGTCTTCAGTTGTGCTGGTTTCCAGTTGGAAGCATACCGTCGAGCTAATATACCTAATTAAAAGATATCCTAAGACTGACCCCAACAAAGTTTGTTTTGATCGAGCCAAACTAATATAGGCCTACGTATTTAATACATTACGTTCCATGCATTTAGCAAACGCTCTTATCCAGAGCCACTTCTATCACAATAGAACATTAGTGCATCCATTCAAGCTGAATGAGCGACAGTGTCAGACCAGGCTAACGACACTCCCAAGTGTATAAGCACAACACCATTCAAGCCCTACCACAAGTTAACTTGTGCAACCTGACAAAAGCCAAGCATACTACGATAGATATCCTAAGAGTGCTCCCAACAAGGTTTGTTACAAAAAACACTCCCGCCAGATCGAATCACATTTCCAGGTTGGGATATTGATAGTTTTGCTGAGTCAGGACGAAGGGGGCGATGCCGAGGGTGAGGGCCATACTTTTTCATCTCAGATGACACGCTGGTGTACCACGCAGTTTCACACACGTCACCCACTGACCGAGGTGTCACGGCACGCACATGTCCAAAGTGTTGTCAGACGTGCCCAGAATGATGTGGGTACAAAACTCTTCACTTATTCACTAGGTCATTCAGGAAAGCGGGATATTTTATTAGCATTAAAGTTTGTATACTTTATTGAATGTACCTACACGACTTGTTTTCATCTTTGTCAGATTTACCGGTCACCTTCACACATGTGATTGTATATTGTATGCCGTGAACAGCATTTATAACGTTGCACCTGAAATGTCATTGTTGATTTGTTTATCTGACTACATTTAAAGACCTGAACACCGATATTCAACAGATTAACGTTTTATAGTCTTTTGAAATCACGGTAAACCGAGACTGGTGTGACGCGTTTCCCAAAAAGCAATGAAATGCATAGGTAAATGACGCCCTCTTGTGGAATGAAGTGCATAAAACTAATTTTCTCTTGATTTCGTTTTAACACTTTCACATGTTTTGCGAAGCGAAAAATGTAATAATGCGAAAAAATATTGGAAAGAAAACATTAAGAGTGTTAATATATTACTTCTACCCAGGGCCACTTTTCAGTTGGTATAAAATTCATATCTGGTATTAACAAAAATGCAATTAGGTATAAAATGTCACTTTATTCACCTGCTGTTACAGCAGATTTTATTCTAATCCGACAGATTATCCCATAAGAAAACCGTACAGTCCTAATAAAGAGCTTTTCTCGGCGTTTTCCACGTGCCTGCGTGTGCGAAAGTATGGGGACGCGGGGGAGTTAGTGGGCGGAGTCGGCTAGTATTTTTGAAGTTGCAGGTTGACACTTCTGTCTTCCTCTCCACGCGCGCTATTGCTTAAACATCGAAAGCGCCCGTCTCCAACTGCGGCTGAGGTTGACAGTAAGTTCCCTATGAATGGTGTGTTTAGCTGTCGCCAAATATGCCATATTGACTTAATCTGCAATCTAACCGTGCATATTTTATTGATTTTGAAGCCGGATATTTTGTCGTTCGTGCATTAATTGGTGGTCTTGACTGCGACTAGCTGCTAGATCTTTTATTTGTTGTGCTGTGCGGTGTTTACCAAGCAGGCACATTAATCTGCTGAGAAGCATGTAGGGATTTGCCATTTAATCTTAAAGAAAGATTTATGGCACAGATGTAGGGACTTTGTATTTGATTATTGCATACTTCAAAAACTTCATCTTAGCTGTGGGCTCGTTTAATGTGATAATTGGAGGATGCCATCCAGAAAGGCGATATCAGGTTCCACTTTGGAAAGAGAGATGGTGTCCCTTCGAAAAAGTGATTTGGGGATTTTGTATTCCCAGGCCAGTGCTGCAATTAAAGCCGCTTGAATGCGTGTTTTATATGAAATTTGTGGTTGCTGAAAGAAAGGTATTATTACTACTGAAGTGCCATTACTTCTTGTACCAGTTATAATAATAGTGATGGAGAGAGAACATTTTGTACAAGGGCCTTTCACAACCCCAGTGCGCTGATCTGGATAAAGCACAAGGAGCAAAAAATGCAGATTAAAACAAACAATACACTGGATAAGAGGAGGGAAATGTAGAGAGGGGTAGAGAAACAAGAATAAAACCAATGGCAACATGTACCATTTGGAGAATAAAAGACTAAGAAGGTGATAATAAATAAGGCCGGGGGTAGGTAATAGAAGAGAGTTTAAAACACTCTCTAAATCTCTCACCAGCCCAGTGTGACAGTTCTATTTCCTGACAGCAGTCCTTGCTGAACGCTATCCCCAGAGCCCCAGCTTTATACGATACTGTCCCACGCCGAACCCATACTGTCCCACCTTACAATAAGGGATGGATCAGTCCAGGGTCACCCCAGGGAACAAGGCAAGGGCTCGTTAGTTTCAGCACTTTGTATTCAGTCCTATATTTGACAGGTAACCTGATGGGATATTTTGGAACAAGTATGAGAGTCGGTCAG